GTACGGCCTCCAGACACCGGGCCATCACGTCAAGGGCATCATTGGGGTGGCCTGGGGTGGAAATGTACAGCTGAGTATCATCAGCGTACTGATGGAAATCCACCCCAAAGCCACGGATGATCTCCCCCAGCGGCTTCACATAAATATTGAACAGTAAGGGGGAGAGGATCGACCCTTGTGGCACCCCACAAGTTAGGGGCCTTGGGGCCGACCTCTGCCCCCCTGCCAATACAGACTGCGTGCGGTCGGTGAGGAAGGAGGAGAACCACCGCATAACCGTGCCTCCCACTCCCAACTCAGCCAGACGCCGCAGCATGATACCGTGGTCCACCGTTCCCACCAGTCAACACTCTTTAGCTGACGGGATCTGCAGCATGCCCATTCTGCTTGATCTAATTGGATGGGTAGAGACTCTTGGAAAAAGATTATCTCTCAAGTTACCCTGCTCCTAAAGTTGGCTATGCTCAATAACACAATTTTTACATGTGATGTTTCCTGAAAATTGTCTATCAACTCCAATTAATATAAAGTACTATAGTAAGCAAGATCACTACCACCAATGTAAACTTATCTGGATGCTTAGGTTCTACTTCCAGGTTAAATCACTGTGAGAATTGGACATGGGGCTTTTACAGTTGTGCTGCTGTGCTCTGTCTTAATTTTTTGGGCAGTAGCTGTCCATTTACTATAACTTGGACAGTTTTATATTATGCTGTAGGATTATTATGTCTTCATTAACTTGTTCTGAATCCATCTTGTCAGTTGCCATGAGATTTTAGAATTAGATGAAGAACTGGCAAGTACTCTAGGGGCATACAGCATTGACTAGAGTGACCCCTCCAAATTTGGAGGTGTTCCTCCAAATACAAAAAAAATATAAAATGGTCTTTCCTATTGTCTGTTTCCAAGAGGATTCAAGTCCCAACACTGAGAAGTCCCAATATGCCATTGCTGAATGCAGCCAGGAGTACACCCTAATGTTAGCCACCCCACTTGGGTTTTGCAATGAATAAAGACTCCTGGGACATTTCTTTTCTCCAAGAGTATAATTTACTAGACCAAAGATAGTTACAGAAGTAGCAAAGCCAACTCGGATATTTTTGTGCGCAAAAAACATAATTAACTTTCCCTTTCCCTCTTGGCCTGCCCATAGTTATTTTTGCTTGGGTAACAGGCTCTTTGGTCTCACAGACATTCCCAGCAAATGACCTTGGAAGGCTGGCATTGTCTCAGGCTTTGAGCAGGATTCTTGGTATTCCTTTAAACCCTCCCCACATCCCTCCCACTGTTGCTATTGTCAGGCTGCGAGCAGGAGTTGCGAAGCAAGCCGATTTGCAGCCTTGACACCTGTCTTCAGTGGAATCAAGAGTTGCTGTGTGCATTTTCCTGTCCCATTTCCCTGCAAGTAGCACAGCTTTAAGATATACTTAAGCAGGTGAATCTAAGGCTACTCTTCCAATAAACTGAAAAGAGATTCTAATAACTAAATCTTGGTAACACTTCTCTTTCTAGACACTCATCTGATAAAGTTGCCAAGTTAGAAAGTCAAGTAGAATCGTACAAAAAGAAGCTAGAAGATCTTGGGGATCTACGGAGGCAAGTGAAACTTTTGGAAGAGAAAAACACAATGTACATGCAAAACACAGTGAGCTTGGAAGAAGAACTGAGGAAAGCCAATGCAGCTCGCAGCCAATTGGAAACATATAAGAGGCAGGTGAGGGCAGGAACTAACAGAAATATATTCTGACAATCTTACAAATAATTTATGCGGGTCATCTTGCCCCTTCTACTGAGACCCAGTGTGGTGTGGTAGTTTGGGTGCTGGAATAGGCATGAGGTGCTCCCAGGCCTGAGATTAGGTTGTTTGTCAAATCCCTAGGTTTGTTTTTTTTCTGATTATGTGTTGAGTGATTTTATCTGGAAGTATATGTAATTTTCTCTGTTAAATTGTAATTGTTTTTTTCCCCTTCCTTTTTATTATGTAGAGTTACTTGGGAGTCAGATAATTTTTCAATCAAATCAAAGTTTCTTCGGATGTTCTATTAATTTCTTCCTGTGACTTAGTTTATATGTAAATTAGACAACTATGGCTTTTTACAGTGCTTTTTTTCCTAAAAAAAAAAAATGGTGCCAGAACTCACACATGTCATACAACCTGCCTTGCCTACCCTACAAGGTTCCATCCAAAAAAAGTGCCGGAACTCCGTTCTGGGCATTCTATGAGAAAAAAAGCCCTGGCTTTTTACTATATCAAGGTTATGTTATGTTATGTTATGTGTAACCAGGCAGATGAATTATGAAGAACATATTTATGCAGCTTTATTCTCAAAGAAAGATTTTAGTATTGGACTGTGCTCTTTAATTACATCATGGGGTAATCTTGAACACAAAGTTTTTTAGTTACCAATTTTGTTTTCATTTGTATCTGTGGATATAGTTCCTTATTGAATTCATTTCTGTTTGTTATATATCTCAGTGAAAGAACTGACTTGAATAGGAAATATAATTTTGCTAAATCAAAATGGGGAAATATCTAGTGGTTGTGGGATGTAAACTCATCTTATTCTTTCATCAATAAAGTTATGTATTCTTTTCAATGCTCAGAGTCCAATTATTAACATTACTATTACTTAATATATTGCTTACTATATTATAATAAATAGAAGAAATAATTAAATAATAAACCGTTGTATATTTCAGTATGCAAGATTGTCATTCCATGTTTCCCAACAGTACTGATTGCCACTGCTATGTTTTAATACAATACTTTATTGTTAGGAAAAGAAACCTAAGCAAATTTCTGTATATTCCCTGTGTCTCTTCGTTGGAGCATTTTGAAGCTTCTATTTAACCTCACAGGAAAAAAAAATATTTGTTATGTCTGAATTCGGTATAGAATTTAAAAGATTAAAATATTGTAAATGAATTTAACCAGGTTTAAGTTACCATTGAAATGCCATAGTTGTGGATTTGAATATGTCTAATTAATTGAAATGAGAAGCTGAACCTTTTGATCTTGTGGTTGCTTCAGAGGAAAGGAAGAAGGAAGTATCAGTTTAAAGGTTGTTGTGATTTGTCTTATGTTTATTACTGGCTCTTAATGAAGATTTACACTTTTATATTGATAAATTGTGATCCCTTTTGCTATTGCAGGTAGTTGAACTTCAAAACAGATTGTCTGAAGAATCCAAAAAAGCAGACAAACTAGAATTCGAGTACAAGATGCTGAAAGAAAAAGTAGATAGTTTCCAAAAAGAAAAAGATGTATGTATTCAACATATAAATGTTGCTGTTTCCTTTTATACCTATAATGTTAATAATTAAAGTGGTTATTATAAACGTAGTGTATATATGTATATTATGCATGTGTAGTCAGCTGTCTGAATTCTTCAGTTGTGGTTTTCTACTGCTCTTTTTTTACTTTTCTTTTGATCTTGGCTTTTTATATAATCTTTTTTTAATATCCTCTGCCATTTGAGGATTCAGTGATACAATTTGTTTGTAGTATATGTTCTTAATAATTCAGCTTTGCTTTTTTGAGTTCTTTGTGCAAGTTTTCATTACTATTTTATTCAAGTCTGGGTTTGCCTCATAGATGATTTAATTAATTTGCTAGTTGAGGGCAAAAAGACAAATTAAGTAACCACTTAAAGAAAACAGATAAGGATGGGAAGCAGGGTTGTATCATTATGACGCTGGTGCTTAACTAATATCAAATCATAATTTAAATTTATTTATAAACCTATTGTGTTTTCTTCTGTTTTCTCTTTATTAGGTTTTACATATTGTGTTAATGTGCATACTTTTAGGTCTGGATTATCATGTTCACCTTTTCTTCCAAGTAAAAAAAAATTCTTCCTCATTTTCTTTATCACAGATCTTATAATAAAGTTTGAAATCTATATCTGTGTCTATTCAATTAGATTATCTTTCCTCATAATCCATATAAAGATAGAGTAATAAACTGAGCAGAGTAGAGGATTTAGTTGTTCATTAGCCGAGGGATAATAGATTTTGTGATAGGCTAGTGTACTTAAGCAAGCATTGCTCTATTGATAAACCATAATGTACTGCAGTTCTCTTTTACTGTTGCAGATGTATCATGATAATCCACATATCAGTTGTAGACTTTTGACCTAGTTTTTGTTGACTGGATCCTTGCTTCCATTAATATGGAACATTGTACAATATGATTTCTGCTTACTTTATCATTAGTATTTTCTCTGACTATTGTTAAAAGGTTTCATGGACTTTAATAGATTTGTTCCAGAAATATTGGTGATACATAATTAAATATTCCTTCCCGTTTTATAACTCCAACCTATTATATATTTCAGAAATACTAGTTGACTTGTTTTCCCTTGAATTTAAATTCATAGTAGATTTTAGAATGTTTAGGTATGAAATTGAAACATATTGATATATGACAAGGAAGTATGAGTATCAGTGAAGTGCCATCTGAACAGCTAGTTTCTGAGGGAAAAAAAAGTCTATTGGGGGATTTGCTTAATAACTATAGTAATTGATTTAACGACTGCAGTAAAAATGATTGTAAAAAATCATGACCAGTGACATGATGACTCACTTGATAATCATCCCAACTTATGACTGAAATTCTGGTCCCAATTGTGATTGTAAGATGAAGACTATCTGTAACATAACCTCATCCTTTTTTAACTATCTACTGGAGTAGTGAAATATCTTTCTTTTTAAAATCTGTAGAGGCTAAGGACAGAGAGAGATTCTTTAAAGGAAACCATTGAAGAGATTCGTTGTATAAAAGCACAAGAAGGACAACTAACTACTTCAGGTAAGATTCTGGGAATGTAATAGTTTATAAGAAAATTATATCCTTTATTAAAACTTGCATCACTTTTTCCATTTTGGCGTCTTGTTGGAGTATGAAAAGGAATAGTACTGACTTAGGAACTATTTGTCATGTAAATTGTTTAGAATTAGGACAAGTTGCTGTTTACCAAATTGTGAATTTTTATTGCAGGCTTAAAAATGTATATATTTAGGGATATTTTTTATGAAAGGATAATGTTTTGCTATTTTTTTACTCTGAATTGCATGCTTAAGTTTTTATTGGGTGTGGATAGGAGAGTTAAACTGAAACCACAGTATTTTTTCATCTTCATTTACTATTCTATTCTGTTTAAGGATTATTACCTTTGGAAGGTCAAGAATCTTCTGACAGTTTAGCAGCAGAAATTATTACTCCAGAAATAAAGTAAGATAAACATAAAATATTTTTATATGGTCATGCATTTAGCTTCATATATTACTGAGATTTTATCAGGACTAAGATTAATAGTTCTTACTGATCTTGCCTAGTTTAAAATTTTATCTCTGTTTAAGTTTATTTAAAAAATGGGTTTAATCTTCCTTAGGCAAATATTTGAATCAATTTAATCCTTCCTTGAATTTCACAAGAATTGTGAGTGCATTTTTATCTCCTTTCTCCTCTTTTCATTTTTTTAAAAAAATGCGTTCTATTTTAAACTATTGAAGACCCTGTTGAATAAAAGGAGATGGGGAGTTATACATGGTCTATTTTATGAGAGCAGATTAGCATAAAATAACCAAAAATTGATGATATATACTGTAACCTCACTCATTTAATTTGTTCAGTTTCTGTTATACTTTCTGTTTTTCTCTCTGGAACTTCTTGATGCTCTTAAATGGAAATTAATATTGGAGTAATTGAGTCAAGCTAGTATTAAAATTATGTTTCTTAACTTTATGGAGTTAGAGATGGTTTATAAAATATACCAATAAAATTGATTAGTGCATGTTAAACTAGAGCTAGTTAGAAAATAAACATCCTCATTTCTGTCGCTTTAAAAGTATGAATTAGTGTTTTCTGAGTTCCTGTGGGTGCATGCGAAAATAGGAATCTGGAGGTTGTTAATCTTCATTGAATGGCAGCAATGGAAGAGCCAAAGATAAATTGTACAAAAATTGAGCAGCTTTCTGAAGAAAAGCAGGGAAAAATTATTCTGTTAGGTGACAGAAATGGATGAGTGGAAATGAGAAAGAGAGTACAAAAATGGGATTGTACTGTTGATGCATATAAGTAATCCTCATTTATTGATCACAGTTGGGATTGGAAAATTGGTCCTTAAACAGAACGGTCATTATGTGAAACTATGGCTGATCATTAGAATTTACTTCAGCTTTCCTATCTGTGAAGGTTGCAAATGAGAAGCTTGGTCCTAAAGTTATTTTTTCATCACCGTTGTAACTATGAATGATCATTGCAGTTGCTAAATGAGGACTACCTGTACAAATTGAAAAGGAATGAATCTAAAAACCATAATTGATGTGATTATTTATGGTGAAAAATTGTTTCTGATGAAAGATTGATTTAGTGAAGGATACAAGGGAGATGAGAATTTCTAACAAGCCATTTTTTGCCTCGGAAGTGAGCTTGGGAGAAAATGGATGTGGAAGTTAATCTAGGTTTGGTTATACAGAAAGAGTGAGCAAGGATTTGATCACAAAAGTAATATATGAAGAAAGAATAAATGAATAAGGGGAAGAACATGAAAATCATGGATGGGTGGAGCTAATGAGATCTTGTAAAAGAGAACAATTAACATAGACTAGGTGAAGTAATGTGTGGATACGATGGAAGCAAAATGGTTTGCAAGGATAAGTATACCAATGATGTTGTATACCAATGATGTTGTTGTCAACTGGATGAAGCTAATGGGGGGAATGGCTGAAAGTTTGTGACCCTTTTTGGATTCTCATTATTCCTGCATAAATACGATCTAATGCGAGTCCTAAAACTAGATCAAGAAGACTGAATTAAACAAATTTGTTCATTTATTGAGAAAAATGATCCAAAGTAGATTGATGCTGTCCAACATATGTAGGATGGTTACTTCACAATGCATACTTTCTATAGGGATGGTATTGCTCTTTCCCAGAGGGTGACACTATTTCATTACTCCTGCTTTGTTTCTCAAGGGAAAAACTTATTCGCCTTCAACATGAAAACAAAGTGCTAAAACTTAAACAGGAGGTGTCTGACAACGAGAGGGTTGCTTTGCTGCAGAGTCTCTTGGATGATGCCAATCTGAGAAAGAATGAATTAGAAACAGAGAACAGGTAAGAAGGTGCTGTTTTTCTTTTAGAGTAGTGAGGTGGAAGCGGATTGGAACCACTTGCTTCCACTTTAAAGATATTAAAAAGAACATTTTTTGGCTGGGACTGCACGTTATTACTTATGTTAAGGTCTGAAGACTTCAAGGGTATATTGGAGTGGTGAGGTAACAACATCACTAGAGTGAGGGTCAGAATGTGTGTCCTTTTTTTAAAAGGACATTTATGTGTTAAGCCTAATAGAGGCTTTACTATATGTACCTTGCTATAATTTCTGTAGCAATATATTATCCATTGCAGGCTTGCTGCGCCTGTCGCAACTTCACTAAAGCCCCTTTAGTCAGGCTGTTTCAGGGTGACCCAGGATGGCCTTCATGGCTACCGTAATTGTCCTGAGGCACAAGGCCACGCCATACTTCACCCACTCCTAGCAACCCTTTATTTTGTCCTGTTACCACTCTCGTGATGTCGACGTGGGGTTGGAGTTTGAGAGACTTTGAGACTGCCCAAAGAGCAAGAACCAAAACTTAGTATCTCACTCAACACCCGAAGCACTAAAAGAGGAAATAAAGAAGAAGAGAAAAAGGAGAAGACTATATCCCAAAAGATACTTTTTCACGAAGCAACTGGACTTTCTTTCTTTTTTTTTTGAAGACATTTCGCTTCTCATCTAAGAAGCTTCTTCAGTTCTTGACTGGATGGTGGGGAATGGAAGGATTTATTATACTCCTTGCAGTCAGCTGGTAATTTGCATTCTTTTAGAGAGCTGTTGAGGCCACCTGGAGGTTTATATGTGTCGTCAGGGTCACCTGAGTAGTGCAAATGGGTGTGGAGCCTTCTTGGAACTGTTGAAAGGACTGTGTGATAGACTGGAGATAGATGATGTCGTATCCCTCCCGCTATGTTGAGAGAGGGCTGTTCAGTTTTGACATAGATGGCCTCTTTGACCCCTCTTTCAAACCAGTGGTCCTTTCTGTCCAAAATGTGGACTTTGCTGTCTTCGAAAGAGTAGTCTTTGTCTTTTAAATGCACCCTAACCCATTTGCACTCAGGTGTCCCTGACAACACAGATAAACCTCCAGGTGGCCTCAAGGACCCTCTAAAAGAATGCAAATGACCAGCTGTCTGCAAGAAATATTCCACATCCATCCAGTCAGAGCTGAAGGAGCTTCTTGGATGAGAAGCGAAATGTCTTCAAAGAAAAAAGAAAGTCTAGTTGCCTCGTAAAAAAGCAATTTTGGACAACTATGACCTGAAGACTGAGAACCTCCATAGACAAGAAGACTATATGTGCCCATTTTTGTGCTGGTTCCAATTGAAGCACTTGAGAAACTCCATTGAGAAAAATCACCAGTTTGGCATGTATTTTAGCGGGGTGATCTTGAGCTGCTAGAAATGCTGGAACAATGAGAACGAGAAATAACATGGAGCCTATGGCAGAAAAATCACCCACTTGATTAAAATAACACTGTTTTTCAGATAGTCTGTGATGTACTTATCACATGTTTGTGACTTCATTGACTTCTACCATAATTTAGGAAGAGACGTAGTACTATTGTTTTATTTGAAGGACAGGAGAATGTGCTAATAAGAAAATAAAACCTTAAGGCCATTATTTTTATAAGTGTTTCGAAACACCCACAAGATCCTTGTCAAGCAGATGATTCGTTTAGGAGAAAAATAAACCCATTGGTGCTTCTTAAAAGTTAAATCTTGTTTCTTATTTCTAGGCTTGTAAATCAGAGATTGCTTGAAGTACAGTCTCAGGTTGAAGAATTACAGAAGTCTCTGCAGGAGCAAGGATCAAAAGCTGAAGATGTAAGTGGAAAGATACACAAATACATGGTCCCTAATGTTCTGGTGCCCCCTACTTTTCTGCTAAAAATATTATTTTTTCTGTCAAATTTCATTACCTTCATATCTAAAGGCAAAATGATGTCATTTTCAGTTTCTATGCTTTTAATTGATGAAGTGCCTATCTTCTGCCCCCCCCCCCATGCTCTTAGTGAAATCTAATTGATTTTCTCAAAAGAAAAGCTGATGGTTAAAAAAAATAGCCTACATTGGTATTCAGATCTCTGTCAGAAACCTGATGGGACCGTCAAAGGAACTGCTAAGATGGGATGGGATTGGAGTAGATATTTCCAGCTGGAGACTCGGCTGGCATCCACTTTTAAACCTATACACATGGCAATAGTAAAAATTACAACTTTTTGGGTAGCTAATAATTTACTTGATATAAAGATTTATTTTCTGACCTACAAGCAATATATATATCAACGTAGTGCATAAATTGGAACTATGATAACACGAGAGTGTGGTTTTTCTCTTCTAGAAATAATAAATGCATTGGAGCAAATCAAACAGATAAGTTGCTTAATATGTTCGCAGCACAAGTCTACCCTAAGTGCTGAGACTCCCAATGCCCTCCCCTTTAATTTTGTGAGCAAAACCACCTTAGATTTGTACATTCAATCATTAAGGAGAAACCGTCATTTAAAATCTAATTTATTACATAAATAAAGAACCTGAGGTTTGGATAAAATATATTGTAAGCATTGTGTTGGTCTCCATCACAGATTATATTTTAGGCGCATTTGGCAAATTATTGTCACATATTGCCTCGAAACCTTGTCCGTGCCCCCCAAAAATTGGGATTATAATGATCCCNAAAAGGTGGCGGAACTCAAACCTGGCCACGCCCTCATCAAACCCTAGGACCGCCCCTTTAGAGAACAGGAATGCAAGTAAAATTTGGGAGGGGCTATTTCCGGTGTGGGAGGGGCTATTTCCGGTGCGGCCGGCCCGGAAAAAGGTGCCGGAACGCGGTTCCGCCGCGTTCCGGCTGAAAAAAAGCCCTGGTCCTTTCTTGTACAGAGATAATCTAGTTATACTTATTCACATGCTTGTAACTTCATACTTAAATTATAGCAATGTCCTCTATATTGGTCTGCCCTTGTATTCGGTACAAGTTGCATCAGCTAGGTTGCTGAGTGACACATGAGCTACGCACATAATATGACTTTTTTGAAGTAACTGTTATGGCTGCCAGTTAGTTGCTGAACCACTTTCAAGGTTTTGGTTATGGTATATTAACCCCTAAATAACTTGACCCAAATTGCCTTCATATTACTAGACTGGGTTAGTAACTAGTTACTAAAATCATCAGATGTGGTCCTGCTCTGTAAACCAGGAGTTGACTTTTGGGGGAGGGGGGCACCTGACTTAACAACCTGTAGTTACATATTCAGAACTTACCCTTTCATCCAGTCCTTCTCAATTTGAATGTTGGAATGAAAAAGAACATCTTTTATTGCATCTTTTAAGGACTGTTTTACAGAATATTGGTTTATATTATTTTGCATTGTTTTAAGTATTTTTAATTATTTGTATTGCTGTTTTTATTATAAACTACTTTGAGATGCTTTGGCATATGAAGAGATAGATAAATCATGCTTCAGTTAAAAATATAGATAAAAATATACAACTTTGTTTGTTTCAAGTAATTTTTTCCCCTTTCATTTATAGTCGGTCATTCTGAAAAAGAAACTTGATGAACATCTGTAAGTAATAAAAATCTTTCTCCCGTTTTTATAACAATAATAAATACTATTTGTATTGCATGGAGTATAATTAGGATTGAATCACTTAAAATTGCTTAGTATGTTAATATTAATTCTGCTCTGATACTCTTATCTCGTGGTGTGAATATATAGTGTGTGTTCTCAGTTTAATAAACTTATTTTGTAGGGCTCAGAAATAATATTTAATAATTTTATAAAATGTTTAAAACATGTTTTGAACTAGGAATTTTCTTATTACATAAGTAAGCAAGCAGAATAGATACAATTATTAATTTAAAGGAGTAATATCTTTGTAAGAAATCAGTACTGAGAGGAATGAAAGTGAATCTGTTATCGCCAAAGTTTTGTCAACTCATAGTGGCTAATTAAGAAAGAAATACATGTGTATATGGGATTGGTGTGGGGGATAAAGTGTGTGTGTGCTTTTATATGTTTGTGTGTATTCACTGTCCTCCTCTCCCCCCAATTCCTGCTGGTGCCAGGAATTAGGTAATAAGCTACACTAGTTCTGGGGCAGCTGGACTTATAATTCTATTAATTTATAGGTATGATAACTCCTACCTCTTAAAAGAAATGGGATTTCTAATGAAGAGGATTAATCTTTGACACTTAATGATGGGGTTATACTGTTAACAGTATTTACTAATCTCTCTCTGTGTATATAGTCTTAGCATATTTGTATAGAGTACTGTAGCATACTATATTTGTATATACTAACTTTTATTAGAGTCGTGCCCGAGTCTCCTTCCAGCCATCATGATTAAATGTCATAATTAGACTGGGGCACCTTACTACTATCCATACTAAACAATGTTCAGGAAATAGGAAATCAATTGAAAGCCTTAGAAGAAGAGAACTGAATGAAAATGATGGTTCCTCTTCTCCTGCAATAGCCTACCCAGGGTCTTTCCCAGTGGTGGGATTCAACCAGTTTGCACCACTTCAGCAGAACCGGTAGCTAATTTTTGGTTGCCCAGGCCCAGAATGGACATCCAGAAGCGGCATCCACACAGAGAACTGGTTGTTCACATATTTGAATCCCACCACTGGCCTTTCCCCAAAGTTCCCCTGCCTTCCAAAGATAACCCAGTAATTTCCTGGGAACCTTAAGCAGCTCTTGAGGGATCTCCGTGTGCAGAGCTCAGTGTTCCAAGAGGTTGACTCCAGTCTCTTGCCTCCACCGTTGACCTCTTGCTCCCCTGCTAATGGTGGTGGCTGCAGCATTCTTACTGGATTCTCCTGTAGCCATTTGTTGATTCCCAAGGACATAATTTCTTCCTCATCAACAGAAATGGAACTGGGCATGGTTCTGGTTCCTCCACTTTCCGTCTTTTTCAGCATCTCCCTTTTCACTGAATATTCTCCGGCCCAGCATAAATCATCTGTAGCCACATTGACAATCTCTAAAGTTCACATTCCCTTGTCTCTTTACTTTCATTATTTTTCCTTAATTTCACCTAATTCTAAGTGCCCCAAAATACAAATCAGAACAAACATAATTAGCAGCTAATACTAGCTTCTGACAAAACTCTATTTCTTTGCTGAAATCATTCACAGTTATGGTGTCCTAATTTCTTCTCTCTTTAATATTGATCCAATTAAGAGTGACAAAGCTGTTGTCTGTAAATTCTTTTCTTTTTTGCAGTGAAAAGCTGCATGAAGCTAACAATGAGCTTCAGAAGAAACGGGCAATCATTGAAGATTTAGAACCTCGTTATAACAATAGTTGTGAGTAGTTCTTTTTATTTCAAATAATTTAATCATAACTGATATTTTTTTTAAGCCCAAAGGTATTTGTTTTTATTTGCCACCAAAGCTGTGAATAAAGATCTTAAACACAGCTCTTATTCTAAGGCTGAGTGTTTCAGCTAGTTGCTATGTAGTATTTGTTTTTGTTAATGGAATAAAACCTGGTTAATTGTTCCTTTATTATTTGGGTCATATAGTAGCATATGCTTTGAATGTAATTCACTCAATAGCAGAAATGAAATATACATAAACTCCTCTGTTTTCTTCTTTCAACATCCAGCAATACATAGAGACTCCTTTGGAAATTATCATACAGGTAGTCCTTGACTAACAACCATTCATTTAGTGACCTTTCAAAGTTACAGTGGCACTGAAAAAAGTGACTTATGACCATTTTTCACACTTATGACCATCACAGCAGTCCCAGGATTCAAAGCTTGGATGTTTGGCAACTGGCATGTATTTAGGACGGTCACAGTGTCCACGGGATCACCTTTTGCAAAGTCAATGGGGAAGCCAGATTCACTTCACAACTGCAGTGATTCGCTTTACAACTGCGACAAGAAAGGTTGTAAAATGGGGCAAAACTAAAAAAAATGGCCCTTGCTTAGCAACATAAATTTTGGGCTCAATTGTGGTCGTAGGTCAAGGACCACCTCTATGGCTGCTCTGGGGAAATTCTCAAAGTAGATTTTTGAACACTACTTACGACCCTTTGTGTAATAATGGTCCGAAGCTATGGCAGCCTTGGAAGAAGTGATTTATGGTCCATCCTTGAAGGCTGTTGGGTTGCCTCAGAGGTCATCTGATCTCAGTTCGGGCACTTTGCAACTGGCTTACATTTTACAACAATGGCAGTCTCTTCTTGTTGCATGATCATGCTTTGTGACTTTCCCAGCCAGTTTTTCCTACCCAGAGTCAAGATATGCATGAGAACAATGGCAAAAATGATGGTAAAATTGGGTCTAGTAGTGTGATGTCTCACTTTACGACTGTACTGAATTACAGTGGAAATTCTGGTCCCAATTGTGGTTGTAAGTCAAGTACTACCTTTATGCACTCACTGTAAATATGACTTTGGTTGTATTGGTTGTTTGGAAAGATAAGTAGAATTTGTGTTTAACTACATAAACATTTAAGGCAAGGCTTCCACACACGTATTTGCTTAATGCAGATGCCACCCACTTCTAATTTGTAATCAGAAACAGAAGTGTCCTGTTCTACCTTCACCCAGTTTTTAGAATTCCTTGTAGTTACGTTCAAATATATATTCTAATGTTTATGTTTCTTCATTGTATTTAATCTGATTTAATCTGC